TAAAACACAGTTTTTAAACACTCACACACACACACACATACACACAATCAAAAACGAACAAAGTATTATTTAAAAGTGAATTAGCACGCAGCATATAAATATGAACGTACAGTCCACTTGTGTAGCGAATGGAATGGACTCACAAGAGAAAAGAGTAGTGAAACAGAAAGAAGCAAAAAAACACAGTTAATGAGAAAGGTGTGTAATATTTAGCAGTAGAATAGAGAAATGGATAAAATTGGTGAGAACATTAGAAAAAAATAAACTAGCGGAAACAAAACTGTAGTTTAGATCAAATATATTTTTTACAAACTTTTTTTTTTCGAGACGAAGAAAAATCGTAAAAAGAAGGGTAAAACGACGAACAAGAGCAGAGTGTTGCACCCACGGAGGCGCACTTTTTCGTTCTTTGTTCCGACGTCAGGAACTGCTTCCGGCATTTGTTCTACTGCTGTTTTTTTTTTAGATCAATCTGACGAACGCACTTAAGCACAACTGCAAAACTCCAGCTTTTCTACGTTCTAGCACAAATCCCTTCCTGTTCGCAGGAGTTTCATAATTGGCGTTATGCTTTCGAATGATTAGCTTTTAAGATTTTGAACCATAGGTTTAAGAAGCCAATTTCCCTCCCAATCGAATGATACCAAAAAAAAAGTAAGCGAAAAAATTGTTGTTTGTTTGTCGCTTGAAAGTTTTATTTTACTTAAGTTTGATTTCTGTTGATTAATTTTATTGCTGCTAAGAGAGCACAGTCAGTTTTGACGACCCTGGCGTGTTCGTTTAGTGTAACACGCTCACACTCAAAAGCGAAACGAAAAAAATAAAGCAACTCGTTGAACGGAAGGAATATTATAGCAAAGCAAGTGTAAAATAGTGGACGAACTAAAAGAGAATGCGAAAAAAATGAAATCCAATACGATTAAAGATAAATTTAAAACAATAAAGTAAAGAAACGAATTTTATACAAGCTATATTTAAGATAATTTAAGCAAGAAAGGAAAGGAACCGTAAAACAAACAAAAACTCTATGTTACGTAAGTTAAGGCAATCTACTGTAAGGCTAGCGAGGTTTTTGTAAATGAATTCCATTTGGTTTAGGAGCACGTAAGAAAAAGACGCTGATCAGATTGGCGCTGTTGCCAATGCTTGAATGCAGAATTAACGGAAGCGGATGGGGAAAGAAACTTTTGTATCCTATAGTTTGAAACGATAGAAGAACGATGCTGTAACAAACGTGCAGGCAAATCTGTGTGTGTTCTGTTCCATGTGTTGAACAATGTAAATTAATAGGTCTGATTAGAGGTTTTATAGAAAAACAGAAGAAAAACGGAAAACACTAATACCGGTGGAACCTAACTTGATGGAATGTGTGCGAGTGCGTGGCACGTGGTTTATTATTTCCCATTGCTTTGGATTGGTGTTCTGAGGTAACTGATAAAAACTGAACGGCTAGTTGTGCGAAATTCTTGGCTTCGAACCGTCTGCTGCTGTTTGAAAATGTGGAGGAATGTTATGACAAATGTACCGCTGTAACTGGAATTTGGATTTCGTATTCGATGTGTTCGGCTCTGGCAGTCTAAAAAAACAGCATTATTTATTAAACCTTTTTCAAGGACTCTGTAATTCTGCAACAAATTCCATTACAAGATAAAAAAATTATCTTATTACCCTAATGTGTTACTAACAGAGGCACGTTTCATTGTTAGGTGTGTATAGTGTTCTAAATTGTGATGTCCTACTTGCATGGCGCCCACTTTGGCTGTGAGCGGTAAGGATTTGTTAGAAATTTGCTTAGTAAACTACTAGTCTCTTACTCACTGCATCAATATCGAATAGCGTGAACCACTCTGTATCGTTAATCTTCAAACTTTTACCGATGGGATAAAAGCTAAGTAACTTTCTATCTAATAGCGAATTCGTTTATTATTCAATACCAACCTGCATCGGGTATCAAGATTGGGTCTGCTTGTTTTCTGACAAACGTCAGTTTGCTCGTTTGTTTTAATTGTAGAGAGTAATTGAAACACGTCTTTATCGGTTGACGTTGAACAGTGGAATGAAAATTTTATTCAGAAACTTAGCAACTAATAACAAGTGCATATAGCGACGCGAATTACTGGGTTGCTACGATCACAATACTCCTCCCTAATCCGCGACGCCAGTTAGCTTCCGAAACTTCTGCTGCTTCTGAACGGTCATCGGCTTCGTGAACCCATCGGCTGGCTGTTCCGTTGTCGACGTGTAGCTCAGTTGGACGACACCATGCTGCAGGCTATCATGCACGAAATGGTACCGTATACTGACGTGCTTGGTCCGGGGGTTATACGAACCGTTGTTGGCGATGCTGATTGCCGATTGATTATCGCAGCACACGGAAATCGGTTTGGCCTCGCAAAACTGCGACTGCAGATTACTCCACCACATAGCTTCCTGGATCGTGCGAGACATGGCCATGTATTCCGCTTCACAGGACGAAAGGGCTACGGTAGGCTGCTTCTTGACGTTCCACGAGATCGCACCTCCCTGCATCATGAACACATAACCGGTTGTGGATTTCCGGTCGTCCGCATCTCCTCCCCAATCGGCATCGCTGTACCCAACTATGTCCGCTGGACCGCTTGTCGAGTACTCTAGCTTCTTGGTTATTGTACCTATCAGGTACCGGATTATCCTCTTCACCGCTTCCCAGTGAGGACGGCCAGGGTTGGCACTGTACTGGCTCACAACGTTGACGGCAAAAGCAATATCCGGTCGGGTGACTTGAGCTGCAAACGACAAACACCCGACTGCTTCCTTGTATGGCACTGACTTCATTTCTTCCATTTCAGATTTCGTCTTCGGTGCCATCGACTTGTCCAACTTGATGCTTGGATCTGCTGGTGTTGCAACTGGGTGGGCATCGGCCATACCGAAGCGATTGACGATGTCTTCGATGTAGGCTTGTTGATCCAACCACAGCTTGCCTTCTTCACGCTTCCTCGTGATTCTGATGCCAAGACATTGTTGCGCCTCCCCGAGGTCTTTCATTTGGAACCGCTTGTGCAGATGGGCCTTCAGCTTCTTCTTTTGCTTCCGATCGTTTGTGAAAATCAAGAGATCGTCGACGTAGATAGTCACAAACATCATCTTTCCTCCACGGATGCACCAGTACAAACAGGGATCCACGCTCGACCGTTTCAGTCCGAACTCCTGCAGCACCACATCCAACTGCGCGTTCCATACGCGGCTGGACTGCTTGAGACCGTAGAGGGCCTTCTTCAGTCTGCACACCTTTCCATTCGACGCATCGAACCCTTCTGGCTGGAGCATGTAGATCTCCTCGTCCTTCAGCTCGCTCTGCAGGAATGCAGTGACCGCGTCCATTTGGTCAATATCCAAGTTGTACCGCAGTTTTTAATACCTAGCTAGAGTTCGCACTGGCAAAAAGATCGGTTTCACACTGCTATAAGAATTCTCAGAAGAAAAACATATCAGCTTTCAAGCGCGGCCTACTGCACTCTCTTCAGATGTCATGATTGATCAGTACTAGCAAAAGGCAACCTCACTTATCCTCTTTATTTTATTTTTGCCAATTCAGAGAAAAATTAGCATTTGGCGTCAGATGTGACAACCTAAATTGACAATCGTCACTGACAGCCAATGCCAATGAAAATTTGAAGCACTTAACCAAAACTATTCGCAGAAAGCTATATCCTCATAGCAACGCGATAAGCATCACAAAAGATCAATAGCACTGATGAAAGATCGGATTAAAAATCTATGAAAAATTAAGTTTGTACGTGAATTTATAGCGGTACAGCTGTGCCATCCCCGATTTGCATCATTTAGATAGAAGAAAGTAAATAGTTTATATATTTTAAGTACAAAGTGATGCAGTCAGCACTCGAACTGACAATCCAGCCACCGTTCAACCTACCAATCATGCCTAAAAATAAACCGGAAGTTCATCCTGTATTCTAGCCTGCACACTAAGATTATTTTACAGATTTCTGTAAAATTTTACCGAAATCTCAACAGCTGAACGTTCGGAAAACCATTTTACAGTTTTCTTGTAATTATTTACAGATATCTGTGAAAAATTCACAGATATTTGTGAAAAATTACAGGAAATCTGCGAAACTATTTACCGAACGTTCAGCTGTTGAGATTTCGGTAAAATTTTACAGATTTCTGTAAAAATTTCTAAGTGTGTGCAATGTAGTTAAATTAGGCAAACCGGATAAGTTTATACAGCGATCCTTGAGCGATCCAGCTATACTCAACACGTTCAAAGTCGTTAACCAAACCATCTAGCAGGTCAACGGAAAACAGTTCATTTTGTCCTTAAACGGGCAATAAACGAGATTTTTTTCCTCTCAAACTATCAAAATATATTTCTGAGTAAAATGCTTGACATATGGGACGAACAGAGTTCTTTGATATCCGCAGAACCTCACATAAAATGTCAGAAAATGAGGTTTAAGAATAAGATATAATTCCGGTTGTGGCTACATATTAGCGCCAAATATGCCCGAACCGGTGCCAAAAGGTATCTAAGAAGAAATTATTTCAATTAGATCCGAATTTTATAACAGTTCATAATATATATTTTTTTTGTGTCAGTGTTTGGAATGTATGACACCTGCGGTTGTGTCTTCTTCTTGTTTCTGAAAACTCAATGACTGCTTAGGTTTTTGTGAACTGGCAATACTCCTTTTCCAAGAGTAACAATGATAACAATGAAGGCCCTATCGCAATGTGGGCGGAAGCAGAACGGAAAAGACAAGTTTGACAGTAGTCACAAATGACATGAAGATGCCTAACCGAAGTCGATTTGGTTCTTACTAGAGAGGGTGTAGTATAAGAAAGGAGCTGGTTTTGAGCCAAACGAACTGTCAAAGCCAGAGCCAATCGAGCAACACCTATCTAGATTGCATTGGCACTGTTGCTACATACAGGGTGCGTGACGAATTTTTGCAGTAAATTTCAAATAGTAATTTTTCATGCCATGTATAACCTAGGCATAGGTTGCCAGCCAAGGCAGTTTGTTTTAAATCCGCTCCTCTCGTATACTAGACCCTCTCTAGTTCTAACTAGTTTTCAATCCGACAAGTAGCCTTACATAGATCGGGCTTTTCCGCTGCCACTGCCGTTCCGCTTCCGCTGTCATTGTGATTGGGCCTTGACTGCACCGTTTGAAGAAATCATGTAAATTTCTGCGAGATATAGCGCACACAAAATTAACGCTAGACTTGACCTAAATTATCACGATATTTCGAGAAAATTTAAGCGCAGTATCGCATAAATTAGCAATATTGTTGTCAAGCTTGTAAACAATTCCGTTGTTTATGCTACCTGTAGCTCAGAATTAAATAAGAGTATATTTTACGCGATAGTTAAAATTAAAAAAAATCTGTATGAGAGCAGGGATGCCAGATGGTTTTGAAAAATGTGTTCAACACAATTGAAAAATGGTGGTGAAATCAAAGGATAATTTGAAGAAAATTACGACGAGTGCATCACAAAAATTACAAGAATTCTACCATCCATTGACGGCAATCGAATGTGCAGAAAGGCAGCTTCCGCACCTGCGTAGGATTTCGCACCCATTCAACACACATGGGCCGGGACCAACGGCTTTACTTCCCTTTCGAAGGAAGACGTGACCAGAGATTTTTATGCCTAAGAAAAATCCCACCGACCTCGACTGGGATTGAACCCAGACCCCTTGGGGTGAGAAAGCAGTCACGCTTACCACTACACCACCGGCGCCGGCCTAAAGCCGTCTTTTGAGGTTCGGGAAGAGATAATAGTCTGAGGGAGCCAAATCGGGCGAATACGGTGGATGCGGAAGCAATTGGAGCCGTAAGTCATTGATTTTAGCCGTGGTTGCGATGCTCTTGTGCGCCGGCGCATTGCTTTGCAAAAACAAAAGAAAATTCGCTTCATGTGTGGCTATTTTGCAGCAATTTCGGCCTTCAATCGCTAAAATAATGCACGGTAATACTCGCTGTTGATGGTTTTTCCTTTTTTCGATGTAGTTCACGAAGAGTATGCCATGACAATCCCAGAAAACCGACGCCATAACCTTTCCGACCCATCGAGCCTCCCTCGGCCGCTTCGGAGCACTCGTGCTGGCTTCAGTCCATTGCCGGGCACTCATTCTGTTCTCTGGGGTGTAATAGTGGATCCAGGTTTCATCAACAGTCTTCAATCGACGCCAAAAGTCCGCCCGATTCCGTATCAGCAAGTCCAAACGCTCTTTCGAAGTGCTCTCGCGTTCGTGTTTTTTGTCAGAAGTGAGCTTGCGCGGCACCCAGCGTCATGATAACTTTTTCATATGCAGAATCTCACCCAAAATATGGCGTGTGCGCTCAGTACTAATCTTTGCGGTATCTGCTAGCTCGCACACCTTCACTTTCTGGTCAGTCAAAACCATTTCACGTATTTTTTGACATTGCCGGTTGCTTGCCAGACAAAGAACTTAACATTTTACATTCTTCCGGGGCACTCTTCCGGTCAACATTCCTGCCCAGGAATTTCATCGAAAACTGCCAAATTCAAAAGTTTTGCTAGCTATCGAGCGGATAGACTGGGATTTTTGTTTCGAGCGTGCGGGATCGAATCGCAACGTGCTTGCTCCGGTGAAGCCATGTTGCAAACAAATGAACTTATACCTTTTACGTCGATTTTTCCTTTTAATTCTACTACTTTTGTATCACTTTCACTTTCACTTATTCATTTTCACTCTTTACTTTCATTATCACTTTGAACTATAACAGATACGTATTTCGTTTACAACTTGCAAACTTCTTCAGTGTCTAGTTCAGTTTTATAGTTCAAAGTGATAGTGAAAGTGAATTAGTGAAAGTGAAAGTAAAAGTAATACAAAAATAGTAGAATTAAAAGGAAAAAAAACGACGTAAAAGATATACAATTATTCTAATAAAACGCTCATCAATAAATTTAAATGAACTTATCCTGACCGCCAATGCCTACTGTGACTCTATACACTTTTAGTTTGATTCAGTGAAATTAAGAAAAAATCTCAACAATTGTCTTAATGGCAGCGTTTTTAATGTTTCCGGATTTTTTCGTGTTCAACCTTTTCTACTTGTTGTTTACTGTGCAGATTCAAGCAATGTCTGAAAATTACTGATTTATTTATTTCAGTTTTCTTGAATTTGCGAAGGGTGATAAGGGGGCATTCACAAACTCTGTTGGAGATTACATAAATCTCTTGAAATCCTTTAAGCATCCTTTGAAGTCCTCTGAAAATCCCTATAAGTTCCTGGAATGTCTACAAAATGGTCAATTCGGTTCATTTGATGGAACGGAAAGTTCCATAGACTTTTATTTGCTGAACTTGGAGAACATTTTCTTCGACAATGTACCCCTCTAACCTCGGGTAAGCTGCGAGTATTAGACCCAACTCCTACTGGACATAGAATTAAGTGAATTTTGTTACAAATTATGAACAATGAATTATCGGCTCCGTAAAGCTAACGCAATTGCGCGAACTGGATAAAAAAAAAACTTCGAGAACAAGTCCGGACGATTGCAGGAGACTTTAAAGGTAAACCCAAGATTTTTAAGTTCCGATGACCATCTGTTGCTGCTTTAAAGTCTCGTGTGTCAAGGATAGTCTTCTGGGTACTTTTTGGTTCAATATTTGAGGTAAGAGATAAGTTCGAATGACGATTCTGATGACTCTCAGTAAATTCAAAAAGCATTGTCCTGAAGTTCTTTTAGACTTGCTTCTTGAACTGTAGGTTCTTGAAGTCCACGAAGCATGTCTTACAATTTCTTAGAAGTATTGGGAAGAATGACTTGAGGTTCATTTCAACACGTTTCCATTTGAGGGTCCGAGGATTGGATTTGATGTGATTCAAGATGTCCCAAGGCGATGATAGGAAAAAAAATTGCTATTCGATCAGAAATTCCAATGAACTTCTGGGTGATGAGGATTAATCTAGGCCTAGGGTATATTTAGGGTTCTGCGGATGACGGTTATATATTTACAAGACTTGCCTAGTACTAATTTGGGTTTTATGAGGGCTCTTTAGAACAAGATTTAGACTTGTAGAATGCTTTAAAACCTCATTAAAACTTGCAATGTTACCATGGTTCTAAGTTATTGAAGCCGTCTCCCTTGGTTCTTGGTACTGCTCACAGAATGCTGTGTACTTGACCTAAAGGGCGAACACGAAATTATTGCGACACCGAAAATGTCATGCCAATTTTCTTATAATGTTTAGAATCAAACCAAAATTTTAGGGTAGTTTTATACATATATTTACTTCAAAAATCAAAAGAAAAGTTAATCGATGGAACCTTGAGTGTAAAATTGAACGCATTTTTGCTTGATGCCCTCCATCAAAGTCTTTACAGTGTCATCCAGTACCAGTTTCTCAGTTTTTTTTTCCATTTTCTTAACATGTCCTTCTCGTCTTTGACTGTCTTCTTGCTCTTCCGAAGTTCCCGCTTCATTATTGCCCAGTACTGCTCCACGGGGCGCAGCTCCGGACAGTTTGGCGGATTCATGTCCTTTGGAACAAAATGGACAGAATTGGCCTCATACCACTCCAGGACACTTTTAGAATAGTGGCATGATGCCAAATCTGGCCAAAATAGCGGAGCTTCGTCGTGCTGCTGCAAGAACGGCAAAAGGCGCTTCTCGAGGCACTCAGATTTGTAGACCTCGCCATTTACTGTGCCCTTTGTCACGAAAGGCTCACTCCTCAGTCCGCAAGAGCAGATGGCCTGCCAAATGAGATATTTGGAGGTGAACTTCGACATTTTCTTCTTCTTAAATTTGTCGTCCACATCGAACTTGCTCTTGCCGGTGAAAAACTCCAACCCCGGAATTTGCTTAAAATCGGCTTTTATATACGTTTCGTCGTCCATCACACAGCAGCCATATTTTGTCAGCATCTTCTCGTAGAGCTTCCTTGCCCGAGTTTTAGCCGTCGATTGTTGCCGCTCATCGCGGGTTGGGAAGTTCTGTACCTTGTATGTATGCAGTCCAGCTCTCTTCTTTACATTCTGGACGTAGCTCTGCGACATGCCGATCTTTTTAGCCAAATCACGGCTTGAGACGTTGGGATTTGCTTTAATCATCCGCTTCACCTTTCCCTCCGTCTTTTTGTTCTCCGGTCCCGGTTTTCTTCCAGCTCCTTTGCCGTGGTCCAACGTCAACCGCTCCTGGAACCGCTTCAACACTCTGGAGACGGTTTAATGGTGAATGTTCAACGTTTTTCCCAACTGCCGGTGCGACAGGTCAGGAAATTCCAGGTGTTTGGAAAGAATTTGTTCTCTCAACTCGCGTTGGTTCACCTCCATTTTCGTTGAATCGAAAAACACGACTTCGAGTTTGACAGCATGTACACAATACACATCAATGAGAAAGTGTGCAAAATTTGGTTGATTTTTACCCAATGGTAAAAAAGTTATGCCCTGTTGAATTTGTCGCAATAATTTCGTGTTCGCTCTTTAGAAGTTGCCTGTGGATGTTCTAGTAGTTCATCAGACAAGGCTCTTTTAATAATTCTTTGGACCTATGTTTGGCTTACACATGAAATATTCAAAACTGGACTACACATATATATTTAGTCCAATCGATACAATCCGTTTAATTCATAGCTCTCGAGGCATACAAGTTTTACATAATGTTTAAGCTATTTGTCTTAGTGCATAGTGCTCGGTTTATTCGTCATTGCAGTTCTTTGAGTCAGCATTTTCTTTGGCATGAGACATACCACATTATACTCCCAGGAGGATTGTCCATTCTTAAATTTGTAGACCATCTCGTCAAGTTTCTTATTATTATTATTTAGCTTTATTAAGGAGGCTTTCAGCCTTGGGCTGGTTCGCCTCCACGTCAAGTTTCTTGACGGGATCAACTGTTATGGATTTACGCTGGAGATTGTGGCTTTCAGTCTCTTATGCTGATAAACGGATGTTAAGTTTCCAACGTCATGATCCACTGGACTGGACTGGAATGTTAAAACTGTTTTGGATCACTCTCCTTACTATTAGAATTACATTTTTCCCCACGATACCACATTCTTAAAATAAAGTTTTCTCACTCAAATCTCAAACGATCACGGTTTTTCGGTTTTGGACCACTGTGATTTGTCTCAAATTCAAGCAATGTTATATTTTAGGAATATGATGTGTAGTGAAATTTGAGTATTTGGCATAATCATGAATTACCCGCAATTGCAAACGTGGCAAGTTACCGCTTGTTTTAATTAAATTCAACGCTTTATATTAGAAAATGAAAGTTTAGCAGAAGGTCGTGAAGCCAAGCTTAGAAAGAATTCGTTTATTATCGGGGTTAACACCAGTTCCAACCCAGTGCGAAACCGAACTTTTTGTCAGTGTGAACCTCAACCTGAGCTAGGTTTTAAAAACAAACGAGCAAACTGACGTTTGTGAGAAAACAAGCAGACCCAATCTTGATACCCAATCCATGTTGGAACTGAATAATAAGCAAATTCGCTATTAGAAAGAATGTACGGGAAGGATGTTTACGTGTTTCAGCAGGACTGACCACTTTCTCATACAGCAAATTTGGTCCAAAACTGGTGTCGGGCAAATTTGACCGAATTTTTGGCCAAGGATTAATAGCCTCGCAGTTTACCAGATCTAAACCCCTTGCATTATTTTGTGTGGTATCATACATGCATAAACGAGCCCAAGGTGTCTACTTTGGCCTAGTTCAAGGCCGAAATCCTTCGAATTTGGGACGAAATGCCGATGGAAGTCGTGTATGTCGCTTTCGATGTGTTTGAAAACCGTTTGAACCTGGTCAACAAATTTAAAGGCGATGTTATTCCGAAAGATATGCTGTAATTGATCCATATAATATTGCCTTTCAATTAAAGTCCAAATAACTGATGTGGAATAATCGAAGTTTGGATTTGTATGAAGCGAACCCCACACGTATCAATATATTGACGCGAAGGGGAATTATTGACAATAATATTGATGATGTGAATATAGAAATATTGTCAATACCAATGTATTGACGTCAATACTGAATGTATTGACAATACGATTATTGTCAATAAAAGTAATCGTGTAGGGTCCACTTGAGAATATACTGGACACGGTGTAAATTGTACAAATCAACATTACCAATAAATGGAGGTTTGTTGCATCTGTCCAATGGTGTTATTACTTTGGTCATTTGATAATTCGATGCCTCGACGGTTCCCTCGAATTATGGTTGCGCACATACACTGAGCAAACGGCGCCGGTGGTGTAGTGGTAAGCGTGATTACCTCTCACCCCAGCAGGCCTGGGTTCAATCCCAGTCGGCGCCGCCGGGATGTTCTGAGGCATAACATCCCTGATCACGCCTTCCTTCGGATGGGAAGTAAAGCCGTTGGTCCCCGGTTCATGAATTGATGGGTCGATAGGTAGGGTTCAGGTGTGGGAGCTGCCTTCCTGGCACGTCGGTAGCATTGGTGCTCAGCACGGAAAACAAAATCGACGGAAAAAACAAACCAAAGGAAAAAAAAAAATACACTGAGCAAATACTGCTTCTACCTCTCGGCGCTAACTTGCTATTTATTTTCGTTATTTCTTTGTTATGAACTCAAACAAAAATGAACCCAACAAAAATTTATTTTAAACCACCGAAATCCAAAATACTTCAGAACCACTTCCGTTTCGAACACAGCAGATACCTACGAAGCAACTTTAAATCTATCATATAATTTGGAAACAGTTTCAGTAATTCTCTAAAATATACATCTTGAACGTCATTGTTTACCGTGAACACATCAATCAACTCAATTCCAACGTCAAAGTCTGTTTCCACCTTAGCTACCAACTTGTTGCAACAGATTTGTCGACCGAGAGCTTCTAAGATGCGATCGTATTTTGCTAGGCTAATTCTATGTCTTTTTGCTGTTTATACGCTGTTTTTGTTGTCTGAATGAGTGTAGGAACAATGTTAGAAAAAGAACAAAGAAAGTTAAAAAAAAAGATCATACAATTCCTTCACAAACTACACGCATGTATCACACGAACACAATCACAATCACACAGACACACGCAATACAAATACTTTCGGAAATTCTTTTTTCTCTCTCTTGATATTTTTACTTACAATTTATGTCTTTTGAGGCAATGACCGAAGCGAGAAAGTTGGATTATGAAAACCAAGATTTGAAAAACCCAAACCGAAAACGCATTTTAAACAAGGAAACGTAAACAAAAAAATAAGGATAATCATCGTAAGCAAAAAAAAAAACTTGAAACGATTACCATCAATGTAATTTGTTGTATTTAAGAGATCATTAATCATAAGAATACGTCATTTGTTCAAGCATATGCTAGTTTAATATCAACTTTCGTTATTTTAAAATCATTCTTCTTCTTTGTACGATTATGAATCAACTTAAGTCCGTTTCGTGTGACCTGCGCAGTCAAGAAAAGTTCGTTTTTTAATACACGAAAGGAAACGATGAACTCGTCGCCATATTGGGGAAAATGGAGAAAAACATACATCCGCCTACAGTGAAGATCGTTTGTTGAGTTTCACCCCGGAAAAAAAAATCCCAACATGTTACTTTGTTTGGTGCAAAACCTAATGAATTATGGTTGATTAGAGAAAAGAGCAAAAATCTAACGAGCAGATGCAAACGGAGACGAATTACAGCAAGAGGAAAACACGTGTACATAGGAACATTGAAGCAAATAAGTAATTATAAGTAAATAAGTGATATTTTTCAGTAGTTTTCAAACGAAAATAATTAGTGATTAAGGGAAAGCGTACGAGCGACCGTGCAACAGATGAGAGAAAAGCTATTTTTATGAGAAATTTATAACTGTAACTGTATTTGATAGGAGCGAGAGTGAGTCTGAGATGCGAACGACATGGGAGAGGTTTTAGTTGTTTAAAACGATCCCCAGTAGGAGCGGCGGAAGCGAGAAACGGAAACATTTCACGACAAGTTTGTTTGGATTGATTGTAGATAATGTGCAAGTGGTTTAGTTAATTTTAGCAAAAGCAAGGACGAAGGAGTAAGCGAAGTGAAGTTCGGAATTCTTTCGAAATTAATAATTCTCATAGTTGTTGACATAAAATTGATATTGAATAATTCCTTTGACATCAGTCTAAGTTGCTTTTTAGACTTATTCAGACTGTAAAAGATCGAAAATAAATCTTTATGGCAAGTTTTACTAAATGTTTTGACATCACGTAAGATATTCATTGTTTGCATCTTAATGTTCTAGCTTTTTAAAACAAACTACAAGCAGAGAAGAAATCGTAAACGAAAATGCTGTAATACTGTAAGTATTAACCAACCATATATTT